GTGTGTGTAATACAAAAAGGGTGGCGATCATTACTATAGAAAACAGGGATCCATCAGAGGTTTTTGATCATGGATGTGACATGACCAGAGGACTCATTCATTTATTTTTTATGGCAGTTGTCCAGTTAGGGGATCTGAACCCATGACCTTGGTGTTACAAGGCTGTGCTCTAACCAACTGAGCTCAGATGTCACATTTAGAAAGATTAACCTGGCAGTATAAATAGGACAGACTGCAGAGAGGAGTAGGAGGTGGCCCAATGGCAGGGAGACCAGGCAAGAGGCTGCTGCAACAGGACAGTGCAAGAGCTATAGGAATAACAACAGAAATAATCATTATGGGCTTCCAGTCAAAATGGCAGAATAGACAGTCCCCAGCGTCACTCTCTCCCACAAATCAACCAATTTACAACTATAAAAAAGCAACAACAGCCACACCGGGGCTACTAAGGCTCAAGGAAAGAGGAGGGGAGACCTACAGAGTGCATGAAGGTGGGAGACGCCATGATGAGAGAATGAAAAAACTGCTCCAACCATTTTGTGCCACAGCCACTTTAAGGCTGGAGCTGCTGAGCGTAAGAAGCAGGAGCCAGCAAAAGCCGCAGCTCTGCCCTTCAGATGGAGTTGCTCGGAGGCCGCAGGGGAAGAGGGCCTTGGTGGCTCCCAGGCCAGCAAGACTACTAACAGGGTTCATGTGGACCCACACAGAAGAGAGGAGCCACAACAACTGAAAAAAAGGAGCCACTCAAGAGGCAGGTGAGTCATCGCAAGGGACAGGTGCACAGCCTGTCCCATGGGAAGTGTTTGCAGCATGCTGGGGGAGATGCGTTCACTAGGGGAACACTGGGGCACAGCAAAGACAGCTGACCAGCACCCCAATCAGTGAAGGACCACTCAGAGGAGACTGCTCAGGAATGCAGAATTGCATGGGGTGCAGTTTGATGAAAAGACTCAGGCCCAGATCAGAGTTTCTACATAACCCAGGTGCACCAGGTCTCTGGAGAGCTGGAAGTACCTATAAGGTCAACCATTAAAACCTGAGCTGCACACAAAGCCTTCCCTAGGGAATCAGCAGCAAAGCAGCAATTTAGCTGAACCACAGAGCTCAAGTACTGGTCCCCAGAGCAAGTTCCCCCATTTTAGAAGTAAGCAAAGGACAGAAAATTAGTTCCGGCCCAGGCACACCACCAGCGCCTTGGGGCCCACCCAGGGACCTGAGGTATGGAGCTGGAGACTGGGGCCCCCCTCCCCCCACAACCAGGCACACCGCCAGTGCCAAGGAGCATGCCCAAAACATCACCTCCATGTGGGTGGCCCACCACAGCCACCACAATAACCACGGCTGCTGTGAAAGCAGCTAGATGCCACAACCACCACGCAGATGGTCCGCCAGTCACTGCAATGCACTGACACAAGGAGAGTCACCAGCAGAGACCAAAGAAAAGAAGAGGATGTCTCTCTCCACAAAGCCTATTCCAGAATGACAGAAGAAGCATCAGCTCTACGATAATACTGGGGGTCCTGAATGCACTGGACAGATCATCTAGGCAAGAAATCAACAGAGTAACCATTACTCTTTCAGAAGGAGAGAAGAAGTCTATGGTTACCAGAGGGAGGAGGGGGAGGGAGGGGGGATAGGGAGAGATTGGACAAGGGGCATAAAGAATAAGTACGATTTGTAACAATATATATGCTAGTAATATTGATTTGATCAACATATGTCAACGTTGAACCCCCAAACTATGTATAATCAATTATGATTCAATAATAATTCTTAAAAAAACAAAAAAATTTGTGTAGTCCTTAAAAAAAAAAAGTAATCATTATTATTTTTACAAGGAGTATAGCAAAGCACTAACCAGTCAGAACATAGCCCATCCCTCATTATCCTGATTTGAGCATCACATATAGCACACAGGTATTGAAATTCAATTCTGTACCCCACAGACACATACAGTCAAATGTGTTTCAATTTTTTAAAAAAAGAACAGAGCTCATCCAAATATGTCTGGAACAACTGTCCTGGTAATGGGGTCATAGGTCAGGGTGAGGTGCTAACACCTGAAGTAGGGTGACAGCGTTGGGGAGGAGGTGCCAGATACAAGAACACTTTAGAAGCAAAATCAAGAGGACCTGGTGACTAATTGAACTTCGGTGTTAAGGACAAGGAGTTGGCAAGGTTTTGTTGCCAGAGCACTGAATGGATGACAGTAACGTCATCAAAATGGGGAACATGAAAGGATGAGTTTTGGAGAAGGTGAGCAGGAGGCAGCTGTGGTACACTAAGGCACAGGCCCTAGAAACAAGTATAGCAGCAGCAGCAACTAGTGTTTTTGTAGTAACTCAGATGTTCAGCTCAGTCACATGAACTTACATTATCCTAAACTGGTGCTACAAAGTAGACATTATTAACTGAATTTCACTAAGGTTCAGAGATGTTAAGTAACTTGCCCAAGGTCACACAGCCAGTAACCGGCAGGGCAGAGATTTGAAACCACATTTCCCAGACTCTTAAAAAAGCTTGTTCCAGGCCGGCCCGTGGCTCACTCGGGAGAGTGCGGTGCTGATAACACCAAGGCCACGGGTTCGGATCCTATATAGGGATGGCCGGTTTGCTCACTGGCTGAGCGTGGTGCTGACAACACCAAGCCAAGGGTTGAGATCCCCTTACCGGTCATCTTTTAAAAAAAAAAAAAAAAAAAGCTTGTTCCCGGGGCCGGCCCGGTGGCGCACTGCTACAGTGCACCGCTTGGGAGCGCAGCGGCACTCCTGGCGAGGGTTCGGATCCCACATACAGACCGGTTCCCGCTCACTGGCTGAGCGAGGTGCGAGCACAACACCGAGGGTTGCGATCCCGTTGCCGGTCCCAGTCTGGTACGGGCGCGACACTGAGGGTTGCGATCCGTTGCCGGACACGAAAAAAAAAGACAAAAAGGAAAAAAAAAAAAAAAGCTTGTTCCCTCCCAGGGAGTCAGGTGCAGGTCCTCAGCCCGGGCCTGACACAACCCAAGCACAGGCCTTTATCTGACCAAAGCCGAAAGCTGGCAGGATTGCAGGGAGCAAGGGCAGCTTGCTTCATTGTAGAATCACTGGGGCTGGGCCTGGCTTCCCTAGTGACCTACCTCACTGTGGTTCTAGAAGCCTGGTTCAGGCAACCCCAGGCACTCACTTTTTCTTGAAGACCAGGAACTTGTTGTTTTGCATGATGCATTCTCGGTTGTTTGAGATCTGCTGAAAGATGGTCTTGTTGGTCTTGCCCTGGAAGATGATGTTCTCCTGCACCAGGGCCTTGGCGCGGCCCCGCACGGCGATGCCATAGGCCCGGAATGAGTGGATCCGGTTCTTTATTACCTGGGAGAGGCAGTCAGAGCTTGTCACACCTCGGGGACTCACAGACTCTTGGGGAAGCCAGGTAATCGGTTATAGGACTGAGGGATAAGAATATGCTAGGTAGGTCAGCATAGAGCCATAGGAGCTCAGAGAAGGGTATTGAGACCAGCTTTGGGGAACCAGGCAAGGCTTCCTGGAGGAGGTGATGGTTAAGCTGTAGGAGTTTATCAGGTACAGAGCAGGGGAGAGTTGTTCTAGGAAGAAGAAAAATGATGTGCAAAGGCTTGGCAGAGAGGGGAGGTGGTGCCAGAAGCCAGGGCCCCTGGCAACCCAAATGAGGCAACAGTGTGCCTTTCTTTCTCCATCTGCTCCCACAGTGCTCAGGGGCAAAGAATTCTTTACTCTTTGCCAAAGTCACCGACTCACAAAGTTGCAGAGCTAAGAAGAACCTTTGGGATCATAATTCCATGAGGGCAGGGACCGGGTCTGTTTGGCATGACACTGAAACCCCAGCACCCAGCACAGTGCTTTGCATAAAAGGTTCTCAGAGCTCACAGCCCTGTCGGGGAGACAAATAGGTAAAGGAACAGATACAAAGCACTGTGGAAAGTGCTGTGGTGGACATAAGCACCACATGAATACAGAAAAGGGGCACCTCAAACAGTTCCCTCTATGGGGGGACCAGAGTCTTTCTAAAAAAAGTGACAGCTAAGTTGTAGGACTAAGATTTTAAAAGGGGGCAAGGGATATGCCAGGCACACAGAGAATAGTGTGTACAAAGACCCTGAGGTAAGATTTCTCTCATTAAGCACCTACTGCATACCAGGTCCTGTGCAAGATTATTCTGTTAGGGAAAGAGAACTGAAATAGCCCTGACCTTGACCTGGACATCAGGAAGATACCTCAGGAGGCTTCCAACACCATGAATCTAGGAGGCAACACCCACCCCTCCCAGCTTCCTGCTGGTGAACTCTTGTTCATCCCTCAGTGCCATCCTTCATATGCCCCCTTGTGTGTGAAGTCCCACCCACATCTCCCAGGCCGTTTTGGCAGGAGGGATGATGTCCCTTGCAGTGCTGAGTGCTGTGGCTCTGCTTCCCAGCAGAGGGCACAAGGACTGTCCACGGCTGTGCCCCGTGTTGGCTCCACACTTAACACACATGCACACACACTCACCTTAGTGTCAGACTTGGGCAGGAGCTGCAGCCCACTGCCCCGGTTGCCAATGATGTCGTTTTCAATGACAATGGTGCTGTCACCCTTGGTGATGATGCCATGGCCTCTGTTGTCATAGATACCATTGCCCCGTAGCTCCACCTTGCACTGGGCCTCAACCTTGATCCCACTCTGGCGGTTGCAGGAGATGCTGTTGTTGGCCACACGGGTGAGCTGGCTGCTCTGGGCCACAGTGATGCCTCTGTCCCCATTAGCATGGATCACATTGGTGATGACGTGCAGTGCCTCACTGCTCTGGACATAGAGTCCCGAGGCTATGGGCAGAGGGGTTGGGGAACAGGGAAGACACAGTGTGGACCCAGGGTCAGCCCTGACAACACTAGTGAGGAAAATCCTTCCCTGAATTTCGCACCCCAGAAGAGGGGTGGGGAAGAGGCGGCAGTGATGCTCAGAACCAGCCTTTGGGTTTGCAGCTTCTAAGCTGATGACAAACAGCAGGAGGAAACCAGGAGCACCAGGAAAACTCTGTTCCTTCTGCACTAACTGCTTACTACATGTAGCCAGGGACACATGATGTGGGAAGACTCCTTCAGCTTCGATGGTCCTCTGGCCCAGGCTCTAGCCTTGTGCTTGAATGCTTCCTCAAACATCATCATCCAATTGCTCTTTACACCCCCTCTGACGGGGCACTCACCCCCTCCTCAAGGCTGCTCAGCCACCTCTAGACAGACAGCTCCGCCTGCTAGAACATTGTTTTGTTTTGTTTTCCCTCCCACGTTGAGCTGGAATCTGCCTCCCTACTGATTTGGGAAATTTTATTCATAAGGGCAATTCTATAATTTCTGAGTAGAAAAATTTATTAAGCTACGTAATAATGCATCTATAAAGTGTTAGAAATTTTGGAAAGGAAAAATGGTGTCTGGCATTGTGTATGCTTACAGATACTATGTGTATGCAGAAAAAAAGCACAAAATCAGCAAGATCGGAGCCCCATGGCTTGTCAGGAAGAGAGAGCCTAGCAGTCAGAGCTTGGGGTAGGGCTGAAGGAGGAAGGGCCTGTAGTAGACACATCCACCCACTGCAAAAACTAGAGGGACTGGGGCAGTGCTGCGAGGACAATGACTGGGATCACATGGGAGCAGTTTGAGTCATGAGCCTGTAAGTTTGAACTTCCTGGTGGCATGTGCTTGCTGTTTCTCCAGGCTTGGTTGAGAACAGCGACTGGGATCACATGGGAGCAGTTTGAGTCATGAGCCTGTAAGTTTGAACTTCCTGGTGGCAGGTGCTTGCTGTTTCTCCAGGCTTGGTTGAGAACAGCAAAAATAAGTATTTATGGGGCCGGTTTCTCCAGGCTTGGTTGAGAACAGCAAAAATAAGTATTTATGAATTTGTACAGCTTTGCCTGTCCTACTAGACAGCATGGCCACATGGGAAAAATCCTGAACTGGGAGGGGACAGAATTCATTTTCTGGATAAGTGGGCTGGGGCTGCTGGCTACTGGTCTCCGTGCTCTCTGCCACTCCCAGAGGGAAGCACTTACCTGGGCCCAGGAATCTATTCTTAATGAGCCTTCCTCCATCACACCCCCCACCCCCAACAGTGACTAAATAATCAGCCAGGCTTGGGAGCCCTGAGCTTAGATGAATTCCACAATAGATATATATTTTTTAAATTCAAGAACTATCAACCACCAATTACCATTTTTAAAAATCAGGTTTAAGATAACATTGATTTAAAACACACTCTTATTTTCTGCATCTCTAAGAAAGAAAAACCACTGCCAGTTAAACCATGGTACACCATAGACTGCAAGACGCGCCTCATCAGCGATGTTAAAATGTGAAAAATGTGCCTTACAACTGATTAAAAATGTGTGTGCCAGGAGTGCTTTGGTACTGCAGGGGCAGGGGGCACCGAGATGAGTGGGCTTCAGTTCTTTGCCTCAATTTCACAGCCTATCAGAGTTGATGAAACAGCCCCAGAAATAAATACAGCCACCAGGCCCTATAACAAGTGCCATTGCGGAGGGGAGAGAACACAATTCAAAGAAGGAAAGGACAGAGGGGTGCATGCACAGCAGGTTCAAGTTGGTTTGGGACGTGTGAATGGAAGAAAGGGAATTTCAGGCATGAGAAACAACATGAGCGAAGTCATGGCAGGTAGGGGTTAGCAAAGAATGGATTCACGTTTAGAGAACAAGTCCAGGGGACTTGGGGATCAGGTAAATGGCAGAAAGAAGTGGCTGATGAGGCTGGGAGGACAAGTTGGGACCAGTCTGCAGAGGACTCTTAAGACAGTGGGGAGCCAGGAAAGGTTCTCAAGCAGAGGCTGGGGGGTTACACTCACCTCCGTTGTGATTAATACTGTTAGACTCAACAAGAGCTATGGTGACGGGCCGGCGCAGCGGGTCATCCTCCTTCTCCAGCTCTGTCTCCCAGAGGATGGCATCCCCATCCTCACTGAAGTTTTCCTGGGCCCCGTGGCCTCCAGGGAACTCGCTGGAGCCATCCTTCTGGCTAAACACTGCCACTCCATACAGGCCATTGTAGCTGACATGGTTACTGGTGACGTGGGGCAGGCTGGACGACATCATCCACACACCACAGCCCTTGTTAGCTGGGACAGCAAAAGGAGCCGGTCACTGACACCCACCAATGGGTAAGGAAGCACCCAGTGTCTCCCCCGAAGAGGGGAAGCAGAAAGGCCTAGGAGACAGAGTCCCTGATTTGCTAGTGGCCTCGGACAAGTCCCTTTACAGCTCTGGCTGTAGACTTCTCATTTGTATGAGAGTGTAATAATGATCAGGTCAATCATTCCACAAGGTGTAAATGGCTCTGAGAGCTGTCACAGGCCACACTTCCAGATCAGAAAGCACACAAGCTTGTAGTGACAGTGCCAAAGGGGCACCAACCTCTCCCTGCACAGGAGGAGGCAGCCTCAGCTGGAATCCCAGCCCTACCACTTCCTAGTTGTGGGACCTTGAGCAGGTTACTGGACCTCTCTGTGCCTCAGTTTCTTCATCTTTAAATAACTTTTTTTTTTGGCAGCTAGCTGGTATGGGGATCCAAACCCTTGACCTTGGTGTACCATGCTCTAACCAACTGAGCTAACTGGCCAGCTCCATGTTTCATCTTTAAAATGGGGGTAATAGTGTGTACCTACTTCAGAAGGCAGTTGTGAGGATTAAATGTGATAATGCATGTAAAGGGCCTAAGCAGAGAGGTGGCCTGAATAAATGTTATCTATTATTATTATTATAGTTAGAGATACAGTCCAGGGCTGACCGATTAGCTCAACTGGTTAGAGTGTGGTGTTACGAGACCAAGGTCAAGGGTTCAGATCCCCATACCCCACCAAAAAAAAAAAAAGAGAGATATAGTCTAAAGAGATTAAGGCTTTGCCCAAAGTCAGGCTGGCTAGATGGTTATAGTGCAGCCTCGTAACACCAGGGTCAAGGGTTCAGACCACCATACCGGCCAGCAGCCAAAAGGAAAAAAAAAAAAGCTTTGCCCAATGTCATCGAGTGAATGAGAATAGTTTTCCTTTTTTTTTTTTTTTTGTCTTTTTTCCGTGTCCGGCAACGGATCGCAACCCTCGGTGTTGCCCCCGCACCGGACCGGGAC